GGGTTCCGTCCGCGCTCCCGGGGGACCCCAGCCCGGCGGGGACCGGGGCCTCGGGCGGAGGGGGCCGCGGGGAGCGCACACAGTAGGCTGTCGTGCGTGCGCAACGCAGGGCCCCGGGAGGCTTTTCCCTCTGTCACTTGTGTGCCTCGCGGGCCGAATTCGTTTGCGATAACTCGGGGTCTGTTTCTTTAGGAAGGACAAGCGCACAGTTGTGCTGCAGGCGAAGCGCTGGGGAGAAAAATGTCACCCACACCGTCGCCTCCCCTCAGCCTGGCGCTTAGTGGGGGCCCCTCCTCCAACGCGAGGAGGAGGAGGAGGACGAGGAGGAGGAGGAGGAGGAGGAGGAAACAGGCATCCATTGCCGAGGCGTTCTTTTGAGATGGGATGGGGGCCATCGGGTGGAGAGGCACAGAGCTCAGCTGGGCGAGCCAGGCTTTAGTCCCAGTCTGGGGAAATACCTGCCCTCGAGTCCCAGCTTTTGTGGTCCCGAAGCAGCCCTGGGCGGTTTGTGCAGTCAAGCTGGCTGGGAAAGGACCCTGCTTGGGCGCCGGGAAGGCGGTGCCTGTCTGGGACGCAATGGAAGGTGAATGGCCCCCAACTTGTATTATGTTTATGTAGCCGGTTGCTGCTTAGTGACTCAGGGTTTGACTGTCGTTGGGGATGAGTGCACCGAGGTTCCAGAACTGTCGTCAAGGAGCCCAAGTGTCCACGGTCAGGCCCGGTCTGCACCTACAAAGGACTGTGCTAAGTTGGTCCATTGGGATAAAGGGGTGAGGAGTTGGCATCTTTGCGAGCTTGGGAACAGGACACCCAGACTAGAAGTTGCTACTTAGTACTGCTGTTGCTCTTGACAAAGTCAACAGGCGTGTCAGGTCAATATGAACACTGTTTATGAACTACAGCCAGTGATTTCACCGATTTCACACTTAACTGTTGTTTTCATGGATTGCTTGGAGGATAGTGGCTGGAGAGTAATGTTAGCAGATATCTGTGGTTGAGAGTAAGCGCTCAGAGTATTCATCAATGGCTTATGGCTCACTGCTTTGGCCTTGGCCATATTTTCTTAGGTGTGTGTGTGCTCCTGTGTTTATGGTTGTTTTTTTTTTTTTTGATAACATGTTTTATGCTAAAAATAATGAAAGGAGCAGTGTGGAAAAAGGCTTAGAGAGGGCAAAAAAGTAAAATTTACAGAGACAAGGCTCTCCGAGCACTCTACATTTTACCAGATGGTATCACTGTCCACAAAGAACCAAATCTAAGAATAATTCTGTTTCTCTTGTTTTCCAAGACATTTCATAATTTAAATTTTTTAACTACATTACTTTTTATTGTGTGTGTTGGCAAGTGTTTTTTTGTTTGTTTTGTTTTGTTTTTGCATACTGATCCATCTCTCCAGCTCCATGGCTAAGGTCTTAGCTGCTTCCTCAGAATGAGGTTTACAATCCACCACACCTTTCAAGGTGCCCACAACTCCAAAGGTGGGGCTTTCAGACTTCACTCTGCTGTCCATCACTTTTCATTCTTTTCAAATGTAATCAAGGACCACACCCTGGTTGAACTTCACAGCAGGTTAACTCAGGATTTTGACCTAAGCTTCACACTCTCCAGAACCCTCGGGCCTCAGTCTTCAGCTCTCTTCACTCAGGCATTAATTGTCACCGATGACCTTGATAGCGCCAATTTTGGCTTTCTTCTTCTTCTTCTTCTTCTTCTTCTTCTTCTTCTTCTTCTTCTTCTTCTTCTTCTTCTTCTTCCATCTCCTCTTCCTCCTCCTTCTCTTTCTTCTTCTTTTTGCTTTTGGCCTTTTTAATTCCTTTTTTTGAGAGATCATCTTTTATTATGTACCCCAAGTGTTTTGGCTTCTTCAGAGATCTTCCTCAGACCTGTTTGAAGACAACCTTACATGTATCAGTCAGGCTCACCACGGTGGTTCTCAAATTGTGGTGCTTGGGGCCTTGAGGTGCTCTCAGAAGTATGTAAGATAAATAGTGTTATTAAAAGTATTGGGCCTTTTCACTGGGCTAACATGTATGTGCTTTGGTTACATGAAAACAGCTGTGGGTATAACTGAAGCCAGTTTAGCACACAGGATCTGATGGTGTACCAGATCTATGTGACTGTTTGTGACTCTTCACACAAGGGAGCATGCAGAGGCAGCTATGAGAATCCAGCTTTATTTTATTAAAAGCTTTGTAAACCAGGCATGGTTGCACAAGCCTTTAATCCCAGCAATTGGGCAGTACAGGTATGGGTTTCCAAGTTCCAGACCAGTGTTAGTTAGACTATGTCTAAAAAAAAAAAACTAGACAAAACAGATTAGTAAGTAATTTTTTTTTTCTTCGAGAAAGGGTTTCTCTGTATTGTTTTGGAGCCTGTCCTGGAATTCGATCTGTACACCAGACTGGCCTTGAACTCGCAGAGATTCGCCTGCCTCTGCCAAGTGCTGGGATTAAAGGCGTGTGCCACCAACGCCCGGCTCAGATTAGTAAGTAATTTTTTAAAAAAACATTTTTTCACAAAAAATGTATTATGTTAACAGGCAATAAACTGACCTAAAAGAAATTAGTTTATTTTATTTGATGTTGATGAGTGTTTTGCCTGCATGTATGTACAACATGCATGCCTGGTGTTTGGAGGTAAGAGGAGGGTGTGTCATTTCATGGAACTGGAGTCAAGGACATTTGTGAACCACCATGTGGATGCTGGGAACCAAACCCAGGTCTTGTACAAGAACAATAAGTGCTCTTAACTACCGAACCCTCTCCAGCCTCCTGATAATTTTATTTTAGTTTTGAGGAAGAGTCTCACACTAGGCCAGGCTGGAGTAGGTCTCATATGTAGTTCAGATAGGCTCAAATTTATGGCAATCCTTTTGTCTTCACCTCCCAAGTGTTTGGATTAGATATGAGCCACCACATTCAATTTAAAAATGAGTTTAGCTCTCTAGAAGGATAGATATTAATAAAATATATATAAATTGTAGGTCTTGAGATATTCATTAATATTTAAGATGTTTGAGTCCATTGCCCCACCATTTACTACCATTTTTTAATCTATGATAATTTTACTTGGTTTTTTTTTGGTCACTACATTAGGATTATTACTACTATTTTTAGTTTTTCAAGACAGGGTTTCTCTGTGTTCCCCTTGCTGGCTTGGAACTTGTTCTGTATTCCAGGCCTGCCTCAACAGAGGTCAGACTGCCTCTGCCTCTTGAATGTTGGGATTAAAGGCGTTTGCCACCACTGTCTGGCAGGATTATTATTTTTTTATTTTTAAAGATTTATTTATCATGAATATAGTGTTCTGTCTGCATGTATGCCTGCAGGCAAAAAGAGGCTATCAGATCTTATTTCAGATGGTTGTGAACTACTATGTGGTTGCTGAAAATTGAACTCAGGACCTCTGGAAGAGCAGCAGCCCATGCTCTTAACCTCTGAGCCATTTCTCTAGTCCCCTTTTTAAAAATTTTTAAATATTTATTATGTATACAGTAGGATTATTATTTTTAACAGTGTCTTGCTGTGTAATCTTGACTGACCCAGAACTCCACACTTTCCTTTTCTTGGCATGCACTGTTATGGCCAGTATATTATGAACTGTAAGGGTCCTTCTGAGGGTCTTTTGCAGTGGAGGGGAAGGGAACTGATATTGTAGAGATTGTTTTGGAAGGTGAATCCACCCAGTAGCCTTGAAAGTTTGAAGATTTCTATCTGCATTGGAATCTACAATGTACATTTTCTTGTTCTGCTTGATAAAAGCACTACTTTTCATATTGGTAAATAGGTTTGTTCCAAACTAGTGAGCACACATTATGATAGGTAGATCTTACACTAGGTGCTGGGATACAAAACTAAGTAAGAGAATTGATCTCTGTTGTCACTCTTCAGAGCAGTGCATACTGATGTTAATTATTGCAAATATGGTGTGACAGCAGATAGCCTTCTGAGTTTCCTAGAGAGAATAGGAAAACTGAAGTCTAAAGACGTGACTGGCTGCAGGGCATGACCCTGCACTCTGTAATCCCAACACTTGGATGGTAGAGACAGTATGATCAGGGCCCAAGACCAATCATAGCTACAGGGTGAGTTCAAGCTCAGTCTGGGCTACTTGAAATGTTATCTCAAAAAGCACACAAAAACAGAAAAGAAATGTTGACCAACCAAAAACACTCCCCCTTCCCCAAGATAGGATTTCTCTGTGTAACAACTCTGCCTGGGCTTTCTAGACCAGGCTGGCCTTGAACTCACAGAGATCCATCTGCCTGTCTCTGCCTCCCAAATGCTGGGACTAAAGGTGTGTGCTACCACCTCCTTTAGTCCTCCAAATGGAGCTTTTCAAATTGCCTCTTTTTTTTTTGTTTTGTTTTGTTTTGTTACTGACATTTAGCTCAGTTGTTAGAAGACCTATGTTAGATTACTTTAAACTTGAACTGATTGACTGAGACTTGTTTTAGCCGAACAGCATGTGTGGGTTTTTTTTTTTTTTTTTTTTTTTTTTTTTTTTTTTTGAGACAGGGTTTCTCTGTGTAGCTTTGGAGCTATGTAGACCAGGCTAGCCTAGAACTCACAGAGATCTGCCTGCCTCTGCCTCCTGGAGTGCTGGGATTAAAGGCCCAGCTAGACACAAAGTTTTAAGAAGCATCCATGTGTGTTATCATCATCATGAATGCTCAATAACTCAGAAAAGTGTTATTTTTCTCTTATAATCTGTGTTCGGCCATTCTAGCTAGTAGTAACACAGTCTGGTTTTGATTTACATTTCATTAATGACTAATGGTATTGGACATCTGTGTAGACTTTTCAATCCTGACAGAACAGTCTTAAGGAAGAAGGATCCATTTTAGCCCATGGGTTCAGAGCTTCTGCCTTAGTAAAGTTGAACATTGTATTGCAGGATCTTACGTAGAGTCTACTCACTTCATGGCAGATAGGAAATAGGGAAAGGAACAGAGGGGCCTTGGACACCATATGTGCCCAGGGACATGTCCCCAGTGACCTGCTTCTCAGGGCTTCTAGAACCTCCAGAAATAGAAGTAACCAGCTGGGGATCAAGCCCTTCAGAACACAAGTCTTTTTGGAGGATACTTTTTGTTGACATTATATCTTTAGGAAAATGTTTGTTAAATTTGTTCCTCCTTTCAAACTTTGTTGTTTCGCCCTTTGAATGTTGAATTGCATGTGTTCTTACTGATTTGCAGATGTTTTCTCCCATTCTGTAACTAGTAGTAAGAAATTGAAAGTTTTATTGATAGTTTTCTTTGACTTACGAAAACTGATTTCCTACATACAGAATAGCTTCTGGGTCTGGCATGTACCACAAGTCATTTGGAGGAAACTTCACACACACACACACACACACACACACACACACACACACACACACACACACGACTTCTAATTCTAATGGCTATGCACTTTACATATTTTAGTATAAAGTTTTAGTGCACACCAAAATGGTGGAATTGGCATGAAGATAGACATGGAGACAAGTGAGGCAGAACTGGCAGTCTGGAAATAAACCTTCACAGCCTACCAAGAGTGCCAGTCAGTCACTTCAATAAATGGCTCCAGGACAGAGCTGGCTATATGTAAAGTAATATATTCAGATCCTTACCTCATACCACTTAGAAAAGTAAGTTCAAATCAAAACAAATATCTTATTTAAGAACCAAGACTTTAAAACTTATCCTCAACCCCTTGACCACTTAAGAGTCTTTATAAGCTATAGCAAGAGACTTGTTTGGCCAAGGATTAGAATAGTATTTATAAGCCTGTGTATATACATATAAATATTTAGAAAGCAGTTTGACATATTTAGCTAGCAAAACATGAGTCCTAGCTTTCTCACCAGGGCCTACACTCTCAGGAGCCAGGTTTAGAGACCAGGCCTGAATACCTTCTGTGGAGCAGACTTCAAATCCAATCAGAAAGTATTTAGTTACCCCGATAGCCTCAGGCCACTGTTGAATCAGTGGGCATGGATGTCTAGTGTGACCTTGAAATTCTGATTCTCTCTGAATCCATGTCCCAGAGTTTACCATTGTGCACCGCTATTCCTGGTTTCTATGGTTCTTGGGATTGAACCCAGGGCCCCAGGCATGCCAGCTCAGCACTCTACCAACTGAACTCCTTCCCCAGTCCCCAGATTGGATGCAGAATGGTCTGTAAATTATTTGTCAACCTTGTATAGTTCTGGTGTGTTATTTATTTATACCCTAATCCCAAGACTTGGGATGTATGTACTTTAAAAATTGTAATTATAATTATTTAGAACAGTTTTATTTGACATTTTTGGCAAATTTATTTGTATTATATTGTTATGTTTTTGATACTTGAAAATACTTGTAAGTTTGAAATATTAGCCCCTTGTTGAAAATCTTTTTGTGCCAATGGAACTGACCAAGCAAGGGATTGCATGCAGTCTTTCTCTACCTGAGAGAACAAAAATTTTTCTTTTTGACTTAATCTTTCTTTGGAGCAGTTTTCAGAAATAAATGAATTATCAGTTGAAGGCTTTTATATTTTATAGAGTTGAGCTTACTGAGTAGTGTAAGAAGCTGTTATGCTCTTTAAAAAAAATATTTACTTGTATTGGTGTTTTGCCTGCATGTAATGTGAGTTAGATGGCACATGCCTCCATGGGTTACAGGAAGGGAAACAGTATTGGATAAGCTAGCAAAATTCAAAGAACTTTGTGTGTGTGTGTGCATTAGGAAATTAGTTCCAGGTTTCTACAATTCCTACCAAGTATTTTGAATTTTCTTATCCCACATCTCAGGCATCCCAACATTTCTCATTTCTAATGTCAAACATAGCCATTTTTGAAATTCAGCACTTTACTAAGTTTATCTAAAAGTCTCTTATAAATCTGTTTCTATTAGTAGACAAATGAGGGGTCAGAGAGTTGGCTCAGTGTTTAAGAGCACTCACTGTTCTTCCAGAGGACCTGGGTTCAATTCCCTGCACTCACATGTGAGTTTACAACCATTTATAACTCAGGTCCTCTTCTGGTCTCTGAGGGCACAGCATGCACAGGTGTGCAAGACATGCACGCAGGCAAAACATCCATAAGTGTAAAATAACAATATAAAAAAATTAAAATAGCCAAATGATTTAGTTTATTTATGCAATGAGACTAATACCTGGTATTCATTGTATGTATGTATGAAATTTTACAGATGAAATTTTGGGATTGAATGATGACGACCTTGACGATGACTGTCAGATACCAAACTTCCACAAATGTGAAATCTGTTTGCTGTCTTTCCCAAAAGAGTCCCAGTTTCAGCGTCACATGAGGGAGCATGAGCAAAATGACAAGGTGGGTATTTTCAAAAGGACTCCAGAAAGAGGGTTCTGAAATTGGAGGTGGTATAGAGTCAACATGTAAGATAAACTTGTAGTTCATTTCATAGTATGTAAACATTTTGCCTGCCTTCCTTTCTTTTTTTGAGACAGGGTTTCTCTGGAACTACATCTTGTAGATCAGGCTGGTCTCAAACTCACAGAGATCCGCCTGCCTCTGCCTCCCGAGTGCTGGGACTAAAGGCGTGAGTCACTAACACCTGACCCTTTGGCTTTCCTTTGAGAATGTGCTTTAGTGAATGTCTGTATTGAGATTATTTGTGAGTAGACAGAGAAATAGGACTTTTTGGTACCTTAGTTTACCATACAACTAAATTCATGGTGGCTATTCTGAAATGTTTTTCCCTTTGAGGGCATTTTGCTTTCAAGTTGTCTTTATGGCATTCTTGAGGCTTTAAATTTGGTTTGACAGGAGTCAGTTGTGTCTTTTGGGGGATGGCTGGAGGTGAGGATTATGTTCAGGGTCTGGTGTGTGTTAGCATGTTTTCTGCCATTCCCTCCAGCCCTTTATACCCCAGTGTCCTTCTAAAGAAAGAGCTGAACCCTTTTATGCTAATCCTTCCAAATATGACATAATGAAACTAGATGGAAGGCAGCTTAAAGGGCAATTAGAAGGGACGGCTGACTTTCCTTTGCTTAGAGAGTGGAAGCTCAGGTTTCATGTGCTGTCACGTGGTGCTGGTGGAAGACATGGGCTGTGCTATCCCAAGTCCCAGTCCCGAAAGGCTGCAGAGAGACCCCAACCTTTGCTTTGTCTTTCTTTTTACAGATAAGAGAGAGAGTGTGTTTTCCATGTAGAGGAAACTTTGGACTGAGAAAAGCAACTGTTAGAATCTAGAGGAAAACTTTTTAGTCATCTATTTTTCTAGAAGGGATTTTGTTTACAATGAGTGAGTTTGTTAGAAATAGAAGGAAAATCCCATCTAATGAACTGGGCTTTCTCACATCTCTTGGGGACTACAGCCCAATAGATTTGTTTGCAGTCTTCTGAATTAGAAATAGTTTTGGAGTTAGGTATTGTCGCACATACTTATCTGAACACTTGGGAGGTGGAGGCAGGAGGATTGAAAATTTGAGACCAGTATTTTTACATGTGATGTTCTGTTTGCACTGCTTTGAAAATTTGATCAGAAGCTTTACTAGGTGCTTTTGGATATATGGATCCAAAAGAGACTGTTTTAGAAAGGGTACCTTTTTTTTTTTTTCCCTCCATACTTGGGAGCCCTGGCTGTTCTGTAACTCACTCTGTAGACTAGGCTGGCCTCTTATAGAGATCCACCTGCCTCTGCCTCCTGAGTGCTGGGATTAATGGCATGTGCCACCCCCACCTGGTACTTATTACTTTAATAACATTTTTTGGGAAGATTGTAACTCTGTTCCTTCTTTTCTGTCAAACAGCCACACCGATGTGACCAGTGCCCCCAGACATTTAATGTTGAGTTCAACCTGACACTTCATAAATGTACACACAATGCAGAAGATCCTGTCTGTCCTGTATGCCACAAGAGGTTCTCCCGAGTGGCCAGTCTCAAAGCACACATTATGCTCCATGAGAAGGAAGAGGTAATTGTTTAACGAGTGTTTGTTAACTGATTGTTAAATGCATTAATCATTAGCCTGATTTTACAGAGGGGCAATTTTAACAGCTTCTTCACAGCTTCTTTTCCTCTGAAGCCTCAGTTCTAGAGCATTTGCTGTTAACTACTTCAGCTACCCCTGTTACTAGCTCAGCCCACTCTACCCGAGATAAAGATTCAAGTAAGCAAGAAAGACCATTCAGGAGAGTATCTGACCTAATGCTTCAGTGCATACAGGCAGTGTAGTGGACTGATTTGAAAAGTAATCTGAAAAGCCTGATTATATAGCCAGGAGAGGTTGTGGCATGCAAATGTATGATTGTAATTTGCACCAGTCACAGCACAGCTTCCAGGTCCACCAATCACAAAGTCTCACGTGAAGACCAATCACATTCTGCCATGTTACTGGGGGAAGTGCTCTTTGCTCTGACCTGCTTGAGAAATGAGCAGGATCATATAGAATTTTTGAGGCTGGTCTTTACTGGAGTGGTCTCCCAAGCTAATGCCATTGTGTGGAATGATTACAAGTGGAGAAAGTCTGGAGCAGGAGCTATTGCCCCCCTCCCCCCGCAGGCATTTGGAGCACAGTCACCTTATGGCATCTGTGCAGTATCCAGTGGCTTGCCATCTGATGATGAGTGCACAGAGGGGAGGCTGCTCTGACTCCCATCACAATGCTTCCTGTAACGATGTGCCATTCTGTTGGCCCTCTGCTTTTCTCAGCAGCTCGGTCACCCAGCTGCATCTCCTACATTTCGTTTTATTTACTTAATTAATTTGTAATTTTTGAAACAAGGTTTTCCTTAGTCTTCAAAACTGGCCTTGAATTCACTCTGTAGTCCACGAAGGCCTTAAACATACAGTCTTTCTTCTTCAGCCTCCTAAGTAGTTGGGATTACAGGCCTGTTCCACTAGGTCTTGATATTAATAATGATTTCTTCTAAAATGTTTAACTGGATTTAACTCCGTTAAATGCCCTAGGCAATGTGGGAACCCTGTTTTGGAAATGGGAACAGAGTATGGGTGGGGGCAAGTATACAGATTGTCCGATTTAGCTCAGAGTCAGTGATGGTGAGATCTCAGGGTGTGCCATTCATTTGTGCTGCTCAGCAGCAAAGTTGTGGTCTTTGAGGTCAGGGACTGTGAAGCATGTGGGTAGGAGAGTCTATGATGAACTGTGTAGTCTGGGCTGAGGTGAGACGCAGGCACATTAATGCTTTGGAGGGTAAGGTCACTGGGGGAAGGTCCTTGAAGTTCCGCTTGTACTCTGTTCTGGCAAGGCCCATTTCCAGGGTCACAGTACAGAAAAGACATGCTTTATTATGGCATACTTACTTTCTTTTTGTTTGTTTTGAGATGAGGTCTGATGTGTCCCGGGCTGACCTGGAAATTCCTGTGTAGTCAAGGATGACCTAGAACTTCTTTTCTCCCTACCTTTACTTCTAGAGAAGTGCTGAGATTCAAGCATGCTGTATCACATCTAGTTTGTGCATTGCTGGGAATCAAACCCAGGGCATCATACAGTTTAGTACGAAAGCACTTCAGCTAATCTACATACCTAGCCTAGTTATATTTCATCTAACCCCAGCATCTGTGTAGGGACACAGAACAGATTTTTTTGTTCTCTCTTCTGGTATTCTTCATACAATTTAAAATTTATTTGGCTTTTCTTTGTGACTAGAAAGAGGAATGTATAGTCATTCATCATTTCTAAAATGCTTTGGATTTTCACATGATATTTTCAAAACCTTGCCTTCTAATATTTATTCTTCTACAAACTTCATTGAAATTCTTTTCCAGGTGGCTTCCAGGTGGAACTTGTAGTGGTTTGCTCCTGGCTCCATCTGCTGGGGTCCTTGTTCTGTTGTCATGAGTCACTCAAGCCCTGGGAGTGGTGCTCCAAGTGACGGGGAGTACAGCAGTAAAAAGTTACTCCTGGAGCTAGAGAGATGGCTTGGTGGTTGAGAGCACGGACTACTCTTGGGGAGGACCTGGGTTTGGTTCCCAGGTCCCACATGGTAGTTCACAACTGCCGGTAACTTTAGTTCTAGAAGATCTGATGCCCTCTTTTGGCCTCTTTGAGTGCTGCATACATGTGGTACACTTACATGCAGACAAAGTACTTAAAGAAATAAAGTAAAAACCAATAAATCTTTTTCAAGTACTCTTGAAATGTGTACTTGTTATATATATAAGTTGATTTGAAAATAACAAAAACACATTTTGATATATGAACTTAGGAAGCATGAGTGACTTTTTAATTTAAGATTACCCCTGATAGAGACATTTTTTAGAGCACTGTAAACTATTTTCCTTGCTGCTCTGCTGATATTAATAGTCTCAAATCTCTTGAGATCAGTACTCTATCAAATTATTTAAACTAGGGAAGAAAAATGCCTCTAGTTTCTAAATATTAAGAATATTAATCCCTTAAAGGGTGCTGTAGGATGCTTGGGGAATAGCAGATGTATTCCCCCAGTACTTGGCAGACCGAGCATCTCACAGGGAAGCTGTGCACATTTGCTGATTGCTGTGATGGAGGGGGCATCCTGTTTATGGAAGGGAGGAGCAGCGTTCTGTGGGGTGAACTTGGAGTACTTGGTACATTGAGCATCATTTGGGAGTCCATACAGAGGCTAGAAGAGATCGGTCCCTGGAATGCTGATGAGAGAGGAGTCAGTGTTGAGGATTGCTGAGGAGCTCTGAGGCTGGAGAGTGTCTTGTGTACTCTGGCTCTTCAGAGATGGTACAGCAACAGCTGAGTAAAGTGCTATGTGAAGTTTCCCCCATAACCTCTGTTGGCTACTCAGAAGCATTAAAATTACCCAGGATAGTCTAGGAGGAGACTTAATGCTGCCGATGATGTGCAGGATACAGAGAGACTTCCTCAGTTTCTGTGGGATGAGAGGCAGGAGGAAGGTCCTGGCTTCTTTTGAATGGTCAGTTGAGTAGCAGAGAGACAGTAATAGCATATATTGGCTAGAGGTGTGTGTGCTCCATCCCCCTTTCCTCATCTGAGCAAACTGTATAGAAACCAACATTTTCACAGACATTCCTGTAGAGTGCTTCCCAGTGTATTCATCTGACCATTCTGTAAAAAAAGTGAGAGCCATATGGTGGTGGTGCATGACTTTAATCCCAGCACTCACTCTGGAGGCAGAGGCAGACGGATCTCTGAGTTCAAGGCCAGCTTGGTCTGTAGAGCGAGTTCCAGGTAAGGCCACACAGAGAAACCCTGTCTCAAAAGAGGGGGGGGGAGAGAGAGAGAGGGAGAGAGAGAGAGGGTGGCAAGGGAGGGTGTGAGCCAGAGCGACAAGAGAACACGGTGGGGATGTCAGAGTCCAGCTCTGTTTTGTAATTTATAAGTATTTACATACTTGTTTTTATGTGTGTATGTGTGTGCCTGAGTTTACGTATGCGCACCTTGTATTCCGGGAGGTCAGAAGAGGCATCTTAGCATCTTAGCTCCTGGAACTGGATTTACAGGCCTTCGTGAGCCGCCAAATGTGTGATAGGTCCTCTGGAAGAATGGCCAGTGCTCTTAACAACTGCCATCTCTCCAGCCCCTGTCTTGTAGTTTTGAACCTGGACAAGTGATAGGATTATTAATAAAAAAAATAAATATTTTCTCTGCCAAACACATTCATGGATTGGGATGGTTATTTTCTTTTTTTTCCTTTTGGTGGTGTCCTAGAGTAAATTTTCATTATCTTCCAAGTTGCTGACAACCTAGTAGTAGTTTATTAATTCATTAAGTTATCGTATTATAATGTCAATTTAAAATCACTATTAGATTTCTTAGGGTAATTCCCTCAATCTTAACCTTTTTGTGCAGCAGGGCTGTGAGTAGTCAGTTAATAACCTAACTACTGAGCTTTGCATTCAAAACTGGTATGCGGAAAAATAGAGGGAACTCTGATGGAAAGAAACAGAAGGGCTGGGTTCTAATGCAGCTTGCAGTTAGAGCCAAGCATGTGTGAAGTGCTGGATTCAGCCCCCAGCACTACCTAAAGAGGGTGTTGTGGAATAAGTCTGTAAACCTAGTGCCTGCCCAGGGGGTAATCAGTGAGGGTCAGAAGTTCAAGGTCTTCCTTGGTGCATAGTGAGTTTGAGGCTATTTGGAATTATATGAAGCCTTGCCTCACAACAAAGAAAACTGACCTTTTGTGGTTTGGAACTAACAGTTCATGCTCCTTAATGGAGTACTCTTGCTTTTCATCTTTGGGCAGTTGACTGGGTCATGACATCAGTAAGTGCTGCATATGAGACTGCACACATGCTCATGGTTTGAAATGTCCCAATCCAGCACTTGCTGGTACTGTAGAAGTTACTATCACTGCCATGTTCTTTTTTGTCATCTCTGTCATTTCACTTAGCTTTGCTCTCTTCTTCTATGGGGGTTGAAGCACACACCAAGGTTCATGTAGACTATCACAGGCCACAGTAAAATAATGAAACAAAAAAATAACATCCACAAAATCCTCATTAAGCTGGTTCTTGTGGCTCACAGCTTTAATCTTACCATTTGGGAGGTAGAGGCAGGCAGATCCTCTACCTGAGGGTGAGTCTGTGGCTAGCCTGGCTTACATAGTGAGTTCCAGGCCAGCCAGAGGTACACAATAAAACCCTGTCTAACAAAAACCAAAAACCCAAACCAAAGCAAAAACCTCCATTAAGCAGGTGAGGTGAATTTGTTAAACTACACTGAGATGTAAGCTATTCAAGTCCTAAAGACTGGAGGGCTTTTGCCAGCTTTGGTTTGGGCACAGGGAAGTCCTATGCGTCCCCTGCTTACAGCAGCCCGGCTGCTCATCCATGTGGTCACTCGGCCTATAGTCAAAACTCAGTAGACAATTTCCATTGAGAAATGTATCACTTGCATTGTGTTTGATGGTGTTTTGTAGATAGTCTCACCTAGCATTCTTTTCTGACCTTTTTGTGTTGAAGTCCTTCTGTGTCTCTGAGGTTTTCATGGAACAGATGGACCAGTTGCCTAGTGCCCAGTAGCCTTTTAATGTAGAATTCAGTTTGTTTGAAAATGGTAGTTTTTGTTTTTATCCTTTACTAGTAGAAATGCCTTTTCGACATTCCAGTTTGGATACAATGATGCATTTTTGAGGGGCGAAGGTGATATTTATTCCAGAGGAAGGTGTCACTTGTGGATTGATGCTCACGGTGGCACCAGTTCTTTTAAGGTGCAGCAGCTTGGAAATGTTCCTTTTCCAGAACCTCATTTGCTCTGAGTGTGGGGATGAGTTCACACTGCACAGCCAGCTGGCCATACACATGGAGGAGCACCGGCAGGAGCTGGCAAACAACCGAGTCCATACCTGCAAGGCCTGTAAGGAGGAGTTTGAGACGACGCCCGAGCTGAAGGAACACATGAAGACTCACTGTAAAGTTAGGTATGGGTCATTCCCAGATTTGCACAGTAAAAACCCTGTGTCAGATCCAGAAAAATGGGCTGCTTTGCTGTGCTTGACTCTAGTATCTGGCGTTCTAGGAAGAGAAGTAGCAGACGTGAGCACACAGCTGGTTTGTTCTAGTGCCACACTTTGTTAACATGTTCAAGTAGAAATCCAGTTTCCTTACTGGTATTTAGAGACATACATATACTCCTGGCCACACTTAACATTTTTTTCAGATTCTTGTATTTTACCTATTACTTATGTGGTTTCTTTACTTATTTCTTAAAAAAAATTTTAATGTATTTTTTTAAAGACTTTATTTATTATGTATACAGTATTCTGCCTGTATGTACACCTGCATGCCAGAAGAAGGCACCAGGTCTCATTATAGATGGTTTTGAGCTACCATGTGGTTGCTGGGAATTGAACCCAGAACCTCTGAAAGAGCAGCCAGTGCTCTTAACTTCTAAGCCATTTCTCCAGCCCTTAATGCATCTTTTGACAATTTGGTACATGTATATAATGTATTTGATCATACTCACCCATCCCCTTCTTTCCTAATTCCTCTTGCAATTCTTATTTCCAACATTTCTCCTCCTACTTTCATGATTTTTTTCTGTCTCTCTCTCTTTTTTTTTTTTTTTTTTTTTGAGATAGGACTTCTCTGTGGCTTTGGAGGCTGTCCTGGAACTAACTCTTGTAGACCAGACTGGTCTCAAACTCACTCATTTTTTTTTTTTTTTAAAATGGTCACTGAATTTAGTTAGGGATGCTTGCATGTGCATGATTGTGATATTATTTGCTGGATCATGGACAGCTAACGGGTGGCTATGCTCCTGAAGCAAAGTAGCTCCTCAGCTAGGCCCAGGGCCTCATGAGAATTGATGGGCTCAATATTGTGCAGATCTTGTGTAGGTAATTCCTGAGTGCAGAGGCCATACCTTGTCTAGGAGATAATGGTCTGCAGCATCCCTCCTCATCCTCTGGCTTCTAATTCTTAATGTTCCTTCCTCTCCACTGTTCCCTGAGCCTTAGTGTGGGGAGAAATTTTTGTTTGTTAATAAATAGGAAGTAAAGGAGGTTGTCCTGTTGCTTTGCTTCCCTTTCCTGCTGGTGGTGATCGGTAGTCACTGAGCTGACTTTTGTTGTCTTTCTGTTGTTTTTTTGGTTGTGTGTGTGTATATGTGGGTTTTTGTTTGTTTGTTTTAAAGGTAGGAGTCTCCCTCTGTAGCCCATGTTGGCCTCATACTCATGGAGATCCTGACTACTAGAATAATAGCTATATGCCTTCATGCCTGTCACCAAGCTGGTTTCAACATAAAGGACTATAAAGGACAGTGTCAGCAGTTAGGTTACATGCCCACCTGTAATAGTTAAGAAATGTCTGTTATTTTTAACAAGAAATTTCATATTAGTTAATTTAAAAAGTTTATGAAATCTCTAAACACTAGGCAGCATGTAGTATACTCCTAGTGCTGCACGTTAGACGGGGGAATGGAGTAGGTGGTTCCCACCTCTTCTCTTTCATTTTGCTTGTTGTTGACTAATATCCCTATTATTTAGTGTCTGATTTGCTTTTGATTTTTGAGACAGGGTTTTGCTGCATAGTTCAGGCTGACCTAAAACCTACCATCCTCTGACCTGGATATCCTGAGTGCTAGGATATAGGCATGCATTGCTATTTCACTGATTTTTACTTTAAAATGCAGTGTGGTTTGGGAATGTATCTCAGTCAGTAGAGTGCTTGCCTGCCATGCACAAGGTTCTGGGTCAGTCCCTAGCACTATAGAAACCAGGTGTGATGGTGCATGTATGTAGTTTAAGCTGTGGGGAGGTGGAGCCAGGAGCACAAGGAGTGTTTTCATTCTCTGTACACGTGTGTCTGTATACATGTGAATAAAACACATACTTTCTGCATACACTGGGTTCAGAAGCTGACTGGAAAAGTATGAGTGGTTGCTTTTCTCATAGACAGTCATAGCAGGAGGACAGCAGGGTGCCAGGAGGCTTTACATTCTGTGGGTAGGCAGTGCTCTCGTGTATGCAGTAGTGTTGGTGGCTGGCAGGTGCCATGTCTGAGAGTAAAACCAGTGCTTTTGAAGATGGATTTGGAGAATCCTGTGTGAGGTCTTAAGATTTAAACCTAAGGAGTTTTCATTACTTGACATGGAAAGGAACAGGTTGAGATGGCACAGGGCTCTTTTGTTGTTGTTGTTGTTGTTAGTGCAAGAGATTTATTGGGAGAGCAGGGAGAGGGAAAGTGAAAGAGTGAAAGGCCATTTGGAGAGGGGACATGAGAGATTCAGACAGACAGACAGACAGACAGACAGACAGACAGACAGACAGACAGACAGGAAATCAAGAGGAGCAAGAAAGGGGACTGTGATGGACGGGCACTTTTAATGGTTGCACATGTCACATAGCTGACAGTGGAAAGGCACCTCGTAGCAGGTGATGAGGTAACTGTTCACAGGCTGAGGCAGGGCACAGGGTTCTTTTTGATCTTTTGCCATTGCTGCTGGCCAAGCAGTATCCAGAGAGTTAAGCAAATAGTCGGTTGTTAAGCTGTGTGGTGAGAGGTAGAGATTATCAGCATTCAGGTGCTGCTGAGCACAGAGCTTTGGGAGAGCATGGGCTTGTTGATATAGACCTCGTATCTGCATGGGCCTCTATGCCAACTAAACCAACAAAACGTGCTTTAAAACTTCCCAGTCACTGTGAGGGTTTGAACAAACCAAGCTTCTCTTTCCACTAAAAATAGGCAAAAATGAATTTTATATCACTAGACTCATATATGTGTGCTTCTGTGTTTGTATGTTGGACAGACAAATGTTTGAGTTGTCATTAAAGCATATTCTGATTACCATCCAGCTAAACTTTGTGGTAGTATTTCACTTAGAAACTGTAATGTAAGGATGATGACTCAATGTTTTCCCCATATGTCGTACTAGGGCATCAGGTCCAAGATCTTATAATCGGAACATTGACAGAAGCGGCTTCACATACTCGTGTCCACACTGTGGAAAGACATTTCAAAAGCCCAGTCAGTTAACGCGGCATATAAGGATACATACAGGTATGAGAAACGTTTGCTGTCCGATGATTTATTATGTGATATGAAGGAAAGAAAATGTACCTACTGCTAATTTAGCCTGCATTCTTAACTCCAGCTTCTCTGTGGTTTGCTGTACAACCTTGGTGCAGTTAGCTAGTGTGTATGATTTCATTCTGAAAAGGGAGTCTGTCTGTCATGTAGTTGTGCTGTATTATAAATGATGAAATGCAGACATGTTTTTGGGTCTACTGGGCTCCAGTCAGTTGGTGTTGATGTTATGGTTGTTACTTGTATGGCATCTCAGCTGGTTAGATCTCCAGGAGTAAAGGCAGCACAATTGTGTGTGACAATTGGCTTTAATGAAGTAGGCTACAAAATGTTAAGGTAGCTGGGCATGGCAGTACAGACCTGTAATCCTAGCTCTCAGGAGGCCATGGTAGGAAGATGAGGGCTTTGGGGTCATCTCAGCTACACAGTGAGTTCCAAGCCAGCTTGGTCTACAGTGTGAGACCCTGCCTCACAAAACCAGTCAACTGACCAACTAAACAGCATTAAAATAACAAAAATCGTATTTCTCTGTGCATTACCTTGCTTGCTTGAGTATTTGAAATGAAAACAGTATTCACAACTGAGTTTATGCTATTATGAATAATGCACGTGTTCTCTTGAGAAAGACAAAGGAAATGGTGAATATTTATATATTTAAAATTAAAATAATAATGATCCATGCTTTGCCCTTTTTTCTTCTTCTGCTTTGTTTTTCCTTTATAGTGACAAAACAGTATGAACTTGCAGCTGTTTGGTTGGCTACTTTGACCAGTTCTGATTATGCTTTGTTGTTCTTTTCCATTTATGGTATCTTAAAGACATGTCTCTGTATTGCAGAACCACTCAGATAATTTCTTAGCTCATTTATATGCCAGTAGAAAGTTGATATTTTCAAAGGTTTGTTCTATATTCCTTAAATCAAGGGAAAAAAGAAGTGCTGTCTTTTAAATGTTGGCATAGGGACATAGTTCAGTTGGTAGCGTACTTGTCTACCGTGCATGAAGTCCTGGGTTCAGTTCCTGACACTACACAAACTAGTGTGGTAGTATATTGTAATTCCAGCATTTGGGAGCTGGAGGCAGGCGGATCAGAAGTTCAAGGTCAGCTAGACATGGTAGTGCACACCTTTAATGTCAACACTCTGGAGGCAGAAGCAGGCGAATCTGTGTGAGTTTAAGGCCAGCTTGGTCTACATAGGGAATTCCGGACTAGAAGGGATACTTGAGACTTTGTCTCAAAAAGAGTAAAGAAAAGTTTAAGGTCATTGTTAACTATATAGTAAGTTTGAGGCCAGTCTGGGATACATGAGACCTTGTATCAAAAAGAAAAATGAGATAAAATGTGTTTTAGAGTGTTAATTTCTAGCTTCTCTTAATGAAAAGATTGCTTGAATGGTGTTACATCCTTTAAGTAGGAACATGCAAAGAAGACAGTGCTTACACTGCTTCCTTAGACAATTTGATGTCTGCCCCTTGAGATTTTTTTCTGCACATCCATAAATGTATTTATCAGAGCAGCGCATCCCCTAGGCACAATGCTGTTAGACACTTTCATGTGACTTTTGGGGATTCACCATATGTTCTCTTCTTGGCATTGATCTTTTGATTACACATATTCATCCTTGCTGGCCTCTTGAGTGCATGGAATGTTGGGGAAAGTGGTTTGCAATAGTCCTCCGCATCTTACTAGCCTGCAAGGCTCAGCACAGGTAGGCAGTCAAATATGCTCCTAAATAGAAGGCTTTTGTGTTCTCCACGTGGTCTTTGAGTGTATGTGCCTCATGTGATGTGATGGTGTGATGTGTGATCTTCTGACGGCTACTCCTTGAGTGAATGAGCCCCATCCAGGACAGGTGAGAGGTATCTCAGCTAATGTCACTAGAACAGAAAGGATGCCTCTGGGAAGGACACCCCATGCCTAGGGCCCACAGTTCTCACTGAGCACCCTAATTGTCTGTCTCTTCCCAATGATACCTCTCTACAAGAGCACCACTCCCATCTCCATCTGACTAATTTACTTAACCCTGAGGTCAGTTCAGAGAAGTAGGGATCTGTCTGCTCACATATTTCCCAGGGAATGGAATTTTAGTAAGACAAGACCTTGAACTAGCTTGTAGTTAGATTTTAATTACGTAATTTTCTCTTTTCAGTCATTCATCAGTGAATGAATACCTATGGAATAATATATGTGGCATACAGAAGTTTTTAACAGGACAGTTAAAAACCTTTCTTAGAACATGTAAGAGAAGTTGAATAATAAGTGAACTGTCAGAAGTTACTGATTACAGGTCATATGGAGAGAATTAAGCAGAAAAGGGGAGCAAAGATTATAGGATAGACTTGAGAGATTTTGAAATCAACTAGAACTGATTGAAACGTCATTCTTGGAGGTGATACTGTGGCAGGGGCAGAAGAACCATGAGGGAGCAAGCTGTGTGGGTTCTCAGGAAGGATGGGCAGGCATAGGTGACAGACCTTCCATGGAGCTGCATCCTGTGCTGAGGGAACAGAAGGTTAGTGGAGAGAGGTAGTGTGAAGAGACCAGCTAGCTGAGTGGGACTGAGGAGCTCTGGAGGCATTGAGCAAACCAGACTTGCTGTGGTCTCATTTAGAAAAAGTCCCTCTGTTGAGTGCAGAGCAGCCTACCCAGGGCCCGGTGTAAGCAGCAGTGCCCATCAGAGGTTATGAGGATGGGCAGGGCTGTGCCCTGCTTAGACAGTAGTTTGGGGCAGGGAGTAGGGCTAACCTGGGAGTAAGCAGGCTGAGAGAAAGCCATGGCTCCACAAGAACTGCTGTGGGATTCGCTGGGGATATGGAAAGGTTTGCCTAAGACAGGTTGAAATGTTAAGAGATACTTCTATATGTGAATTTAGAATCCTCAGGAGATATTTTGGCTGGAGGGATAGGCTGGAGCCTTGAGTTTGTATACCTTATGTATTTCTCTCATCCTAAAATTCTCACATAGCGATTCTTTTCCTCTCTGGCTAGGTGAAAGGCCATTCAAATGCAGTGAATGTGGAAAAGCTTTTAACCAGAAAGGGGCACTGCAGACCCACATGATCAAGCACACAGGAGAAAAGCCACATGCCTGTGCCTTTTGTCCTGCAGCCTTTTCTCAGAAGGGGAACCTGCAGTCCCATGTGCAGAGGGTCCACTCAGAGGTGAGCACAGCATTGGGCTCTATGCATGATCTCAAAATGTAGTAGATATATATTGGTTATGACTAGCCTGAGGAAGTGTGTTAGAGTTTTGAAAAATGCAGAATGAGCTTATGTACAGTAACCTATTTTAGCAAAAGTACATTGATGGGAACATCCTGTTGTGTTGTTATTGTTGGTGACAGGTCTTGGTGTGGCTTTGGCTGGTGCTGTACTCAGTCTGTAGCTCAGGCTGACCTTTCATTTCTGACAGTCCTCCAGCTTCAGCTTCCTGACTGTTGGAATTGTGTACACCACTGTACCAGGCTCTTTTGGGTTTATTATATGTGGGATAAATACAAAATCCTAGCTTGTCTTCTTACTTTTAATACGTATTTAAAAATGGTAAAACCTTTAGTGATGTGACCTATCAACCGTAATCATCTATTCAGCTATAGACACTGTCAGATGTAGGAAGAGAGAGACAAGAAGTCAACAAAAAGCTCTGTTCTCACTGCAGACTGAGTGGAGCTGGCTTGGCCCTGCAGCACACTTGCACACAGACATAGCATGGGTCAGCTCTGTGATTGCAGTTGGCTGTTGTCTTCAGGCCCTGCTTAACTATAGACCTCTTGGAAACGTCTGTGTTAAGTAAGTTTAACTGTTTTAAGGACCAGTGTGTCTATTAGTCCTAGTGTCTTAGTTATGGCCTAATTATAGAATATAAAGGAATACTTACTTAACACAAATACTTATATTATGAATCAGTTTATTGTACAACGAAAACTATTATTTTAAAAAGCAAATATGTATCTTTAATTTTTTCATGGAAAAAAGTATCATCTTAGTGATGGGAGCTAAAAAAAATACTAAAAATTGAATGACTGACACATATAATCTCAGCACTCAGGAGGCTAAGGCAGGAGGATCGTGAGTTTGAGGACAGTTTGGGCTAGTTAGCAAATTTTTATCTCAATAATGACAATAAAAACGGAAATAAACCCAACAGAAGTCCCCTTAGTAAGAACAAAACTAGGGCTTAGGGGATAGTTCTGCCTAAAGCACTTGCTTTGCACACATGAAGACTTGAGTTCAGTCTCCAGAATTCACACTGGGGAAAAAGAGCCAGGCATGAAGGCATGTACATGTAATCCCAGTGCTATGGAGGCAGAGACAGGCAGATCCCTAGCAGCTGGCTGAATCAGCAAGTTCTAGGCCATTGAGAAATCTTGTCTCAAAATCAAAGTAGATGATTCCTGAAGAATGATACCCTTGCTTGTCCTTTGGCTTTCACATGCAGATATCAAGATAACACACACATACACATACACACACACACACACGCACGCACGCACGCACGCACGCACGCACGCACTGCAGGGGGGGAAGGGGAGAGATATTTGGTCTCTAACATCTAATGGGTTTAAATAAAAAGAGAACAAACATATATGTCACATAATTTTAGAAAAAGATTTGGAATTCTATATTCACTAATATTGGTAAGATACTGACACTGCATAATTTGGTCTCAGAAGAGTGCATTGGGGCATAAGGGTTATTCTTGCAAGTTGCCTTTGAGTAGAGTTGATCACTTAGGAATAGCTGTGTGTTTACATAGCTCATATTTAAATACCTCCCTGGGACCTTAGGGTGGTCCTCTGAGATACTTGTTAAGATATTCCATGTTATTATTATCCAGTCCTGTGAGATGTCCATAGCCTTGAATTTGGTTCTTTTTGTGTGTTCGTTTGTTTTTTGAGATAGGGTCTCACTATGCAACTCTGACTATCCTGGAACTTGCTCTGTAGAGCAGGCTGGCCTCAGACTCATAGAGATCTACCTGTCTCTGCCCCTCAAGTGCTGAGGTTAAAGGTGTGCAGTACCATACCTGGCTTAAATTTGGTTCTTATGAAGTACTACAAATAGAGTGGAAGTCTTCCAGCTTAGAGGTCACTTGTGCGTTTTCAAGCCTGCCTCATAACCGTGGTGGGTAACTAAGGCTAGGTTTGAATAATAGTGAGAGAATGTTTTAGATACATTCTCTGATCATAGATGTTCTTACTCATCTAAATGTTATTTGTCATCTGTTTCTGGATTAATTGTAGTTGTAAAAAGTGATCATGGATGGGTGTTAAATTGGTAAAAAATTTACAGATTTTTTTAACCACTCTAACATACCTGTGTATTAATATGGCCCCAGAAGCTCAGTATGCACAGTGATATTCTCAGCTGTACCTAGCCTTCATTGGGGAACGTGTTTAGCAATTTAAGAAGTTGAGAACATATGATAACATTTTGATGTTTAAACTACACTAATGTTTCTCCATTCCTAGACACTTCTTATTTAGATAAACACTGAAATTTCAATTGATACTAAACTGGTGATATTGATTAAGTAGTTGTATCATTGATTCTCAAGCTAATTTAAAACAAACAAAATATCCCAATGTTAGAGTTATATAATTATCTCACTCTGATTGAAGTGGTACATTTTCTTTGCTATAACTTAAATATGCTCATCTATTAGTCAAAGATTTGAAAACTACTTTTTCCTTTTTTTAAAGGTAAAAAATGGGCCTACTTATAATTGTACAGAATGTAGCTGCATATTTAAAAGTTTAGGTAGCTTAAATACTCATATCAGCAAGATGCATATGGGTGGACCCTCAAATTCCACAAATTCTACAGAGACTGCGCATGTTATAACGGTAAGTTTAATAATTTGATTTAAGCCCATTCCCTATGGAGGGATACTATTGTAGCCCAGATACAGCAAGGAGGGCCTAGCCCTCCCTCAAATGATTTGACAGACTTTGAAGGTCCCTAGTGGGGGCCCTCACTATCCCTGGGGAGGAGTTGCGGGGTGGGTTGGGGGGGGTTGGTGGGGAGCATGGGAAGATGGGAGGGCGAGGGAATGGGGGGATGGATATGTAAATATGAGTAGTAATTAAAGAATTAAAAAATAATTTGATTTATAAAAGGGTTTTAGGAAACAAAAATCTCAAATATCATTTTAAATGTAAATTTTTAAATTATGTATTTAGTACCAAAAAGTACAGTTAAGGTTTTCTAAATAAGGTATATATATTTTTTTAATTAATAAAAATCAATCTGTCTAAACTTCAGGGTAATGACACATAGTTTTGACTTATAACTTGTCATCTAAATCTGTAAAACTGAGAAAAATTTATCAATAATTTATGGGATTCAATTCTCAGAGTCATTGCTATTGTAAAGTATTAAATATTGTTTATCTTTGAGTGTTAATCTACTTTGCAGTAATGTTCCTCATTTTCTCATGTGGCAGTAATAATATCTCCTAAGTCTTTTGGGATATCAAATTCTGCTTTCTAGTTCATGTATTTAGAAGTGGAATGACCTTAAGTACAAACAGGCATAGTCAAACATATTACCCACAAGAACACAGTTCCACACAAATGCACACATGGCCATTTACACATTTTTGTGTGTTTTTTTCCCTAGGATTTTATAACAGCTTTAATCAGTAACTTCAACCATATTTTATTAGTTGATAATACATTGCAAAATGTAAGCGTAGGATGTAGTATCATTAGAGTTGACTACAGCATGCAGAAGAGTTTTCATGAATGTCCATGTCTGAGTGCATGGTGGTAGTGTCTTGGCTCCCTTTCTGCAGTGCTGGTTCATATCTGGGTTATAAACATGATATTCTTTTATTATAATTGTTTTCTTTTTTCCTTAGTTTAGTAATTAATTTTTCATAGTTTTATAGTTCATAGTAGTTTATTTTTAAAGTGTTATAAAGCATTGCAAACAGGAATAATTGAGTAAATATGAAATCTTAAAAATTCTATTTTTGGATTTCCTATTTTAAAAAATGAATATTTTAGTGTGTTAATAACCAAATAATAGTTTCACCATTTCCTTTGGCTGTATGTAAATCAAAAGGTGGTTATACTAAATAATGTGGATAGGAATTTGTGTGGTGTGTGAGAGGGAACATGCTGCAGAGAGAGAGCAGATGAGAGAGCTGCGTCCACATAGTATCGTTTCTTTTTAAAACCTTTCTGTCGTGAGGCAATTTGTTCTGAAACGCACACCTGTGGCGTCTGTCATCTCCCTCTTTCATCCTTCATGATTCTTGCCATCTCTGGCTGCCTGTTTGTGTATCAGAAGTTAAAGTTAAGTCACATTTCCATGCACAGCTAGTGAAGACTTTGTATGCATGTGACCAAGTGTATTCATCAGGATTCTTTAGAGAAACAGAACTTAGAGAATGATGTCTGTCTGTCTGTCTGTCATCTATCATATCCCCCCAAAGGGAATTTATTAGAATGGCTTATAGGCTGTGGTCCAACTAGTCCAACAATAACTGTCTCCCAACAGAGGTCCAAGAATCCAGTTCAATCCACAAGGCTGATGTCTCAGCTGGTAATGCCAGTGAAGGGGTGGGTTTGCTAGTGAGAGTGAGGATGGCAGGCAAAGAGAGCCAGTTTCCTTCTTCCATGTCCTTATATAGACTGTTCACAGAAGGGCTGACCCAGGTTTAAGGTCAATATTCCTAACTCAAAATATTTAATTATGAAAAATCCCCTCCTTGGTTTTTAGTTAATTCTAGATGTAGTCAACTGAGAATGGCCAACATACCAAGGAACCTGTTTGTTTTTTCTTAAATTTTAATTTTTTTGTTTCACTAGTCATTTTCACTCTCTTCCTCACTAGACTTCTTCTCAACAAGTTCCCTTTCTACTTTCCTGTTTTCTTTCTGTGTAACACAAGTTCTAATAGGTCTTAATAGTAAAAGCCTGGAGTCAGATATAGGGGAAAATGCTGGGAGATCAGAGAGATGAATGAGCAAAACCACAGCCACCTTACCCCGTCAACTTCCCAGCCGAAAAGAAACCAGCTCCTGTCTCCTCCTGCCTTATCACTTCCTCTCTCTGCCCAGCCGTATCACTTCCTGTCTGTCTGTACAGACCTCCAGACCTCTATGGTTAACTAGTGGCTAGCTCCTCTTTCTGATCTTCAGGCAAGCTTTATTTGTTAGAGTATAAACAAGATATCACTGCATTTCTGTGTGTGACCAGTGAGGTTAATTTGAGGCTCTTGCCTGAGCATGGGTGTGTGCTAATTTACTGGAGCAAGGGCAATGTATCCATGGCTACACCACTAGGGAAATGACACCCCCTCCTTCAACAACTATGAATTGTTACTAGTCCTTCAGGGAGGGGTAGGCCTCATAGGCCCCTCCCTCATCCATAAGGAAATGGCGAGGGATCCAATTTTGTGTGTATAACTGCAGCTACAGTGAGTTCATGAGTGGGAAGGTTATGTCATTGTCCTTGCTCTGGCTTCACATTTAGCCATCCTCTGTCTCATATGCTTTTGTCAGAGCACAGAGGACTTTAGATTGAGGTACTAAATGCCATAAAAAGTACCCAGAGTCTCATTAGATAGTTTGTTCTTTTTATTTGGTAGATGCAGCCCCCCCCTTTAAAGTCTGTCTCTGTCTGCTATCTATCTATCCATCCATCCATCCATCCATCCATCCATCCATCACCTGCAGGTAGTTCCTTGTGGTCCTAGGGAGTGTGGCAATGGGGTTCTTAAAGTGTTAAGTATTTTGACCACATTGGCTTCCCTTCCTTCTCTGCCTCTGTGTCTCTGTCTTTCCTGAACATTATGCTTCTTCACTCACCCACTCTGACTTGGCGACGATGCAAAGATGAGTGTTGATAGCCATGTCCACTCCCATGAGAAGAACTCCCAGACTGCTGTAGAAGGGTTATTTGAGTGTGTTCTTTTAAGAGCCAACATTGTGCCTCACAGAAAGAAATCACCGAGGAATTACATCTCAGCTCTATGTTTGGGAAGCAGTAGCTTTTGATGCCATTAGAGAGGTGTCCTCTTAATATGGTTTATGTTTAAAGTGGAAGTTGCATTTTTAATGAAAATGTTGCTGTGTTCCAGGCCACGATCTTTCAGACTTTACCACTGCAGCAGGTGGAAGGCCAGGTGTCATCAGTCTCTAGTCAGCAGAATTCTCAGGCAGTGACTGATGTCATTCAGCAGCTTCTGGAACTGTCTGAGCCGGGGCCGGTGGAGGCACAGCAGTCCCCACAGTCTGGGCGGCAGCTGAGTGTGACAGTGGGCATCAACCAGGACATCCTCCAGGTGAAGCACGCTTACCTGCTGGGCAAAGCTGTCACATTTGGGTCCTCAGAAATCAGGGTTTATGATCAAGCGGTAGAGATGCAAGGAGTCTGGTTGTAAATGATTGTAGTAAAACAAAATATGCCTGCGTGTTAACCAACAGGAAGTGCTAAGTTAATCTGAACATTGAAGAAAATGGAACCTTTTTTTTTTTTTTTTTTTAATTCTGTAAATGAACTAACTAGACCTGGACAGGTTCTTTAAAGCTTGCCAGGTGTCCATCCTGTTGAGAAGGCTGTCATTCTTCCCGAGATGCATATGTAGTATAGAGGATGTTGACTCTGTGTTACTGGTGTGAGAATAATTGTCCCATCACCTCTGGGACATGAGGAGGAAGGAAGTTGGTAGTACTTGTTTAGTTCTCCTAGCTCTGAGAGAGTGGGACATTCACAGATGTACTCCACCTCCAGAGAGGCGGCTGTCCTCTTTTCTTTGAATCTTAGGATAGGTTGTTTAGGGTGTCAGGAGTACCCTACAGGTGGGCCTGAGGTAACTTGTGACCCAAATATGTTTAGAGACAGCCCACGTGCTAAGATTTCTGAATGTCAATTAATGATTTTTAATCCCATTAATTTTAGAAGTGTATCTATTTCTATCAAGTTTGGGGTGGGGATGAAATGTCAGATATTAGAAGGGGTGTTGGAACCTCCTAGAGTAAACAGCCTCTTGGAGTTGTAGAGTGGAGTTAGAGTTCTGTGGGTGAGACTTTGTGGCATCTTGGGATAGCTTTTGGTAGGCACGTTTGGGCTGTCGCCTTTTCTAACCTTATAGTTTTGTTCTGTCTCAGCAAGCCTTAGAAAACAGTGGGCTGTCTTCACTTCCAGTTGCAGCACCTCCCAGCGACTGCAGCAATGCCCAGACGTCCACAGTGTCTCCTCAGAGTCCACACGCCTCCAGTGTCTCCGCTGAGCAAGCTGATGTCATGGATGCAGACCAGGAAAAGGGACAGGAAAGCCCCGAGAAGACGGAGAAGAAAGAGAAGAAGATTATGAAGAAGAAATCACCATTTCTACCTGGTAATTTACTCCATACTTTTCCTTTCTGGTACTTTGGTGGTGGTAGACTTGTGTTAGGAAACATGTCTCCCACTTTTCTGAATCTTAACTAGAGTTGACTGGTGTTGGGAAGTTAAAGGGTTGGCAACCACAGTACTTGGATGGTGTCCTCCTTATCTCACAAAGCTGCTTTCCTGTGCCTGTCACGGGGCTGGGTCTCGGAGTCTTCATTTTCTTGCTGTTTCATCTGGGGCTTCTAGCGACTCTAGATCCATTGCTTCTTCAGTTCTTGCTTTGGCTGCTACTTGCCCTGTGACTCCCTTGTTCCACAGCCTCCTGGAGGACTCCTCACTCTTCCTGGGTGCTCCCACTTGACAACTTCCAGGCCCATTGCTCCTGCCCCGCCAGCCTGTCTTACTCCACGCCGACCCTTTTTCACTGTTTTAGGTCTTCCTTCCCCTGGCCTACCCTGTACTCAGGCTTTGTTCTAGATGTCTTCTTCCTTTATAGTTGGATTCCTGCTGTCCCAACCCTGCTTTGGGGAGCTTTTCTGCACAGAGAATGTCTTTCTCTTTACCCTTCCAGTCACTATAAAACTCTAGCTGTCTCTTAAGACTGACTGTAGTGTGATGTCTACATGCAGGCTCTTGACTGAGCTCATCCGATCCCGTCTGGTACAGCATACCACTGGATGGTGTGATGCTCGCAGGGCATGGTTGTGAATGTCTTGCTGCACTGCAGCCTCTAGCCTGGGGTGCATCTTTCTCAGCTGACTTCCCTGGGTTGCATGTTGCTCTTTCACAGCAGCGGGCATTTACCAAGAGTCCTGTGCTATATAAGAGACCTCTTATATAACTGCAAATCTTGGGCAACATGGCCATCTTTTTCCTGTAAAGTAATTACTTTCTCCTCATTGACATGTCAACGGGGAGCCGCAGTTTCTCATTCAGTCCAGCATTGCAGCACCATTCTTTTGCTCCCCTGATCTGGACAGTTGTTCCCTGTGAGAGAAATGGGATGGTGAAATGAAACATGTGAGTTTGATGGTCTGTAGAGGAGAAAGGAAAGGATAAAGCTTTTTTTGTGTGCATATGCTTCCAATGAACAGATGCAAAGTCAAATGAAGACCATGGTGGGAAACCTTTTCCATGAGTTATCATGGCTCTTGTCTAGTTGTTGTGTTAAATTAAAGATATTCTGATATCTGTCTGCAGATCACCAAGTGAGGAACAATTTGCCTGAGTGCTTTTTCAGTGCAGTGACTAAGTTTCTGAGAGAAGCAACTTAGTCCTGGAGGGTTATTTTGGCTCATTTTAGAGAGCAGGTGGCCATGGTGGGAAAGTGTGGGCAGCTGGCACATGAGGCAGCTGGAGTCACTGCATCCTCACGTCAGGCTGCTGACAGATGAAAGCTGGTGCTTGATTCACTTTCTCTTTCGTCATTCAGCTTGGGACCACAGTCTGACCTGCATTCAGGGTGGAAACAGGCACCCTTATAGGTGTGATTCTATTCCCAGTCAGCTTAATGATGGAAATTAACTCTCATAGTGTCTTTCATACCCATGAGCATGGTTTTCTTTCTATTGATGTCTTAGATTCTAGCGACCTTGTAAATTTCCTGTTGGACTTCTCTTTCTATCTCACTCTTTGGGGGTGGGGCATGAATTGTCTTTAGATTGCTTTTCCTGTTTTTTGTTGGTATATGGAAAAGTGATTGAGTTTTGTATATTGGTCATGATTCCAGGAACTTTTATTGTGCTATTTCATTTCTAGATTATTTTGTGTTTTATATGTAGACAATTTTTTTAGGTTTTATTTATCGATTTATTTATTTGAGAGTCTCTCTCTCTCTCTCTCTCTCTCTCTGTGTGTGTGTGTGTGTGTGTGTGTAGATCAGAGGATTATGAGCTGAAGTTTTTCCTTTCTCCATGTGGGTTCCAGGGATTGAATTCAGGTGTCTGTAGTCATCAAGATACCAGGGTCTTATCCCACCTTGCTGCTGGTGGAGGAGGAGGAGCTCCTGGCTCTTCTTCAGTCTTTGCACATGTGACTGATGAGGTGGTAGAGACAAAACTTCCTACCCTAGGTAAATGTATTGGTCAGTTTTATGCCAGCTTGACACAACCTCAGTTGTGTAAGAAAATACCTCCATAAGATCCAGTTGGTGGGCTTTTTCTTAATTAGTGACTGATGGGGGAGGGCCCAGCCCACAGTGGGTGGTGCCATCCCTGGGCAGTGGCTCTTTGGTTCTCTAATCCCACCACAAAATGGGATTAAAGGGTGTGATCTGAAGTGCTTCGATTACCTTTATGTGAGCTGTTTGTCTTTGGATTGCATCAATTTCATGTAGCTCAATGTAGCCTTGAACTAACAGAGATCCATCTGCCTTTGTCTCCTGAGTCCTGGGATTAAAGGTGTCTGCCACCACTGCCCAGCTTCTATAGCTAACTAGTGTGGCTGGTGGAATTAAAGGTGTGTATCAGCATTGCCTGACTCTATGGCTGTGGCTAGCTTTGCATTTTGATCTCCAGTAGCTTTGTTAGATCATAAACTGTATCACCACACACCTGAGCCTGTCTGCAGTCCTGCTGAGAATGTCTTTAGTGAGTTGCACCTCAGACTTGTGAAGAACTCCTGGAGCATTCCAGGGAAATTTTAGAAGAGCCATATTTTGTGGCCTGTCTGTTCTTGGGGGCTTTGGTTGGTCATCTAGCATATTTAAAAGCATGGTTGAGAAAGTCTGCCTGAGATGTCATCTTCATCTTGTGTCAGCAACAACTTTTCTAAGAGAATTGAATGAAAGCTGTTCTGTGGTTAGAGGCAGCAGACTCCTTCTTAGTGCCTCCTGCTTGTCTCATAAACATCTCATTGTCTGTAATTAGCACACCACTGTCTCTCCATAATAAACAGGTGATCATCATTGACATCAGGTAGAGAAACTAGTAGTTTGTGTAGAGGACATCCTCAAGGATGCATTCTGGGGTTTCCTGAGAGTGGATAAATCTGGAAACCAGAAAGTGTTTCCGATGAGACTGATCTAAGAAAGCTGTTGGTACTCATGGGCTACATTGAGGTTCAACTCTGGAGTTTTCCATGCCTAGCAAAAGTTAATTTTTAAATTAAAATTTTGATTTTCATTGATGTATATTTGTATGAATATATGTCGTGTATGTGGGGGTACCTGTAGAGGCCAGAAGAGGGCAGCTCCCCTGGAGCTGGAGTTATAGATGGTTATGAACTGCCTGATGTGGATGCTGGGAGTCAAACTCAGGTCCTCTGCACAAACAGGAAGCTCTCTTAACCACTGAGCCATCTCTCCAGCCCCTCTGACAAGAGGGTCTGCATATTTGCTGATAGAAGCTGACTGTGATGCTACCAAACTCTAGTTGTACCCATTGAAGTACCATCCATTGGAACATCCTCTGAAAACCCTGACCCATAAGGTACTGCATCCACATGTAGCAGGCTCATTACTCAGCTGCCACAAATCTTGAAGCCTGTTACTGGAGCCTGTTGGACTAAGAACTGAGCAAGCAGTAGCAGGCAGTGTATCTAGAGCATATATAGGTAAGGCAGTTTTAATAGTGGTATGAGTGTTTTTTGTATTTTGTTTTGTGAGACAGGATTTCTCTGTGGCTTTGGAGGCTGTTGGGTCCCTTCTTACATATTTCAGGGGAAGGGAGAGGTTCTATGTCGTGTGATTAATATGTAGTCCACAGTATGACTGCAATCAGACTGCTTCTGATTCCTGGCTGGTAGGGACAGGGAGGGAGTCTGTTAGCCTGGGGCTTGTATGTATATGACTTAGGGTTTCTTTCTTTCTTTTTTTTTTTTTTCTTTTTTGGGTTTTTCGAGACAGAGTTTCTCTGTGGCTTTGGAGGCTGCCCTGGAACTAGCTCTTGTAGACCAGGCTGGTCTCGAACTCACAGAGATATGCCTGCCTCTGCCTCCCCAGTGCTGGGATTAAAGACAGGTGCCACCACCGCCCGGCAAGCTATTTCTTATATTCCATACATACGGCTTCTTTTTTTTTTTTTTTCTTTTTTCTTTTTTTTTCTTCAGCATCATTTGAAAGGTGAATTGTTTCTCATTAATTTTTCATGGTAGCCAATGTGGTTCCATCTCCAGTGGCTTTTTGCTGAAATACCAAGATTCCCCTAGCAGGAGCTGCCTTATTTTAAGAGCAGGATCATTGTCAGTCACTGCAACATCAGGAACCTTTGTTTCAGCAGCTCCAAGTGCATCTTAAGCACTCTTGATATCCAGCCCACATCAGTGAATCCAGCTGACTGTTGGTGACTGTCCTTCTGCATTTGTGAGCCTGAAACATCTGGCCAGGAAGGCGACATCTTTCTGGTGAGTGCTGGAGTACTTGATTTAAAGGCTGGAGTAGTGTCACTTTGTCAATAGAGTCCAGTTATATTTTCAGGCAAACCATCACATGCATCTTCCATAGAACCTCTGTTGACCTGTGATCTAGCACTGCTGTTCTTGTTTTTAGTGTGTTATGTGGTCTGGAGCTTGAGCATGTGCTTGCCAGGTGTCTGAGAGAATCCCTTGATGCTTTGTATAGGCCCAACATTTTATCTGTGGTAGTTAATCTTGATTGTCAACTTAATTGAATCCAGAATTAATCTTTGGAGATTAATAAAGCACCTCTCTGGGTGTGTCTTTGAGAGTATTTCTAGAAAGAATTAGCCAGAGGCAAGGCCCACTGATATGGGTGGCACCATCCCATAGGCCCAGACAAAATAAAAGGGGGAAAGGGAGAACGCCCTTATTTGCACAGGCATTCTCAGTATGAGCTGTTCTGTTCTGTGTTGCCTTCCCTGCCTTGGTGGACTGACACTGCTGAAACTCCTAGGTAAATAAACCTCCTTTGAAGTGTTTTGTGTCAGGTGTTTTGTGATAGTGGTGAGAAGCTAACTAACACACTGTCGTCTTGTTTGTTCATTTGTTTGTTTGCTTTTGTTTTTTGAGTCAGGATTTCTCTGTGTAACAGCCCTGGCGTTCCTGGAAGTTACTTGGTAGACCAGGCTGTTCAAAAACTCACAGAGATCCATCTGCTTCTGCCTCCCGAGTGCTGAGATTAAAGGTGTGCACCACTGCCACCACCACCATTCCAAACTGTCTTAATGTGTAATGGGAGTTTTCTTGTTATAAAAAGTATGCCTCTGACATTACAGAAAAACCCAGGCACTTCCTGTTACTTCACTATCTCGACCCTCTTGCACTGCCAGGGGCTGACAACAGGGGGCCCACCTTGTCATTTTGTCGCCACCCCCCCCTTTTTTTTTCCTTGTTGCCCTTTTTGTTCTCTGTTGTGGCTGCTGCTAATGTTGGAGACTGAGTTGGTTTGGCTATGTTCCGGTGTTGCCTCTTGGGTTTGATGAGTGAGGAAAACAAAGTCTTGGCATCCAGTACCTGGCTTCAGAGTACACCTGGCTTCAGAGTACAGCTAGGAGACAGCCACTTACTGCTAGAGAAGTTCTTTTACTTTAAGAATTATAGTATTTTATTCCTTTTTTTAAATTAATTTTTATTTAAATTTAAAACAATCTTATTTTACATACCAATCCCAGTTCCCTCTCCTTCCCATCCTCCCATTCCCCCCACCGATCCCCATCCACTCCCCATCCACTCCTCAGGGAGGGTGAGGCCTCCCATGGAGGATCATCAACCTTTGTCACATCATTTGGGGCAGGGCTTAGGCCCTCCCCTGTGTGTCTAGGCTGAGAGCATATCCCTTCACAGGGATTGGGCTCCCAAAACCCATTTGTGTACTAGGGATAAATACTGGTTCCACTGTCAGAGGTCCCATAGACTGCCCGGACCTCCTAACTGGCACCCATATTCAGGGGGCCGGGTTGGCCTTATGCAGGTTTCCCAGCTGACTGCCTGGAGTCAGTGAGCTTCCACTTGCTCAGGTCAGCTGTTTCTGTAGGTCTCTCCAGCCTGGTCTTGACCCCTTTGCTCATCATTCCTCCCTCTTTACAACTGGATTCCAGGAGTTTGTCTCAGTGCTTAGCTGGATATTAGACATAGAGCAAAGGATAACCAGCATACAATCCACAACCCCAGAGAAGCTAGGAAACAAGGAAGACCCTACGAGAGACATATATGGACTCCCTGAGAAGGGGAAAAGGACAAGATTTCCTAGTAAATTGGGAGCACGGTGGAGGAGAAAGAGGAAGAGAGAAGGGGCTGGGGAAGAATAGAGAAGGAGAGCAAAGAAAGAGATAGCATTATGAGCCATTACGAGCTTAATGAGAAACTTGGCACTAGGGAAATTCCCAGGAATCCGCAAGGATGACCGCAACTAAGAATCTAAGCCATAGTGGAGAGGCCACCTTAAATTTCCTTCCCCTATAATGAGACTGATGACTACCTTATATGCCATCCTAGAGCCTTCATCCAGTAGCTGATGGAAGCAGAAGTAGAGATCCATAACTATAGTATTTTCTAATCTATTTTTGTGGCATACATTCTTCCTAGCCTTATTTTTTAATCTTCATGGGAGAAATGTTTTGTGTTATGAAGCTATATTTTTCAAACATGTTCTGCATTTTGGGCTTTGTGACATTTGTACTTCAATATCGTGGCAAAAGCATGGGTTTCTCTTTAAAATTTTTAAATATTTATTTGTATGTGTTGGGGGTGCTTGTACAACAGTGTGCTTGTGGGGCAACAGAGAATTAACAGGAGTTGGTTCTTTCCCCCATGGGGTCCTGGGGGTTGAGTTTGAGGTTATTTGGCTGGGCCACAGGCACTTTTCCCAGTGAGCCTTCTCCCTGGCTCAGCTGCTGCTATTGCCTAGTGCTTCCACACCTCTAAAAACTACTCATCTGTCCAAACACCATTGTTAACTCGGTTACAGTGCCACCTTTATTGAGTGTCACCCTACACATCTAGCTGCTTGGCCATTTCATTCTATTTTGATAAGGTATATTCAACTTTTCTTGGCTTTAGACTTGCTAAGACTAGATACTCTCAGCTTTACAAAATTAGTTTGCATCTTGAATAATGTGATTGCTCTCCTAAATGAGTGAGTATATTGAGGAGGATAAGCGCTTGCTCAGATAGGGAAGCTTTCCTAACTAATGCAGATCTTGTTTTCCAGGTCTTTCTAATTGCTGTAAATCTGGATTCAGTTTTTCTTTTTTCCAAACATACACATATTATGTTTGAGACTGTGTCTGTGCTGTAAGTTTGCAGTCCCTGTTACAGTCTTTTCCTAGAAGTAATTACAGCTTGGCAGTTTTATATTATATCTTCTTGTATGTCTGAGTACACATTTTTCATGTGTAGAAACTAACTCTGATTTCTGGGGTGAGTTCTCAAGTCTTGCTAGTAGATATTGTAGTTATGTTACTACTTCCTGTTTCTTACGCTCTCCCTCGTTTTCTTTTCTATCCGAATTATTCTTGCAAAACAGATTATTAGAGAAAATATCTTTTATTCCTTTGGAATAGATAGAAAATTCTTTGTATTTTATGGCCATAAAGAGGAGATGAGAGATTTTCTTCTTTCCTATTCAAATAGGTTGAAACTAATTTGAGTTGAAGCTTCATTTGCCTGGCTAAAGTTGGTATAATTTTAAGTTTGTTCTCTATTTGAATTATCTTGCTATTACTATGAATACATGTTTGATTTCACAGGTAAATCTGACTGAAAATATGAAAAAGGTGGTCCAGAGAGATGGCTCAGTGGGCTAAAATATATATTGCTCTTTCAGATGACCCAAGTTCAGTTCCCAACACCCACATTATGCCGGTAATTGAGCTGTATGGGATCTGACACTTGGCCTCTGGACACTCAACTTTCATGTGCATCTTCCTGCCCCTATTTATACACATAATTAAAATATTTTCAAAAAGAAAATGCTAAAATAAAAATGACTTTGTGTTTTATTTCAAGTTTATTTTAGTAAATCACTTATTTCCATATAGTGTCATTTTTCCCCACTGCTAGCCAAAGTTTTCAACTACACTCAGAGCTGCATAATATTGTCCATAGTGGCATAGGGAAGAATCTTTCACTTTGGTCTATGAATTCCCCAGATTTACACATGCTGTGTTTTGCTTTAACTGTTAATTTCCTACTGTTGCATTAGAGTTCGTCATTTCCTTATTATTTGTATCACTTTATGTTTGTGGTTTAAGATGCTCAATCAATCTCAAGTGTCTTCCCGTCTGTTCTCATCCTTCAAGTGGATCATG